GTTTAAACAATAATTTTTACCACATATTAGGGTGGAGGCGGGTCTGGTCATGTGATTAATCATGTGACTAATCACATGACTACGACTCACTAGCTAATATCCAAGGGAAAATTAAACATGCCAATGATATGCTGTGGGATGTAGTCATGTGATCATGGAAAAGTTAAGGTCAGGGTTAGCGCTAGCTAACCCTGACCTGGTCCACACATGACCTAGGTGTAGGTGGGTTAGGGGTTAGGGTTAGGTTAGGTTAGGGGTTAGGAGGTTAGGGGTTAGGTGGTTAAGGTTAGGGATAAGGGTGAAGTCTGGGTGCAAGGCTTGCCCTGCTGTTAATGAAGCTATATAGTCTCAGGATAAGTACTAGGGGCCTGGGAAAGAATACAGTGAGATAGTAGTCCAACACACGGGGCAGGGGGGGGGGTGTCAGTTTTTCCCACGATGCCCTGTTCAGGCTCTACATAAATATTTAGTTTTGTTTAATTATGTTTAAACAATATAACTCTGTTTAGACATGTTTAAATAATGCTGGACAATCCTTACATGTTTAGAGAAAACTAATACTTTTGTAGGAATGCCATAGTTGACATGGCATTGAACATAGTCCTCTCTAGTTAAGTCAAGACTCAAGTGTGACCTTGATGTGACTTGCCGGGTTTCTTAACAACGATTTGGGGTTTGGGGGTTTCCCATTAGAATTATCCTTGCAAAACGCATACATCGAATCTCTACTAATCCACTCAAAATAGGCTGGGCTGAAAAGCAATCAAGCCCCGGGTCTTGGAAGCAGGTAATTTATCAGCTTGAAAGATTGCAATGCACATTGAAAGCATGAGAAACCGAAGAGCGAATGGATTGAGTTCCGTTATGTACATTGTGCTAGTAAATTCCACAGTCAATGTAGTACTGGGATATCGATACTTGGAAATTTATCTTTGGTGGTGATACCGCTAAAGCTTTGAGAACGCCTCTTTCTTCGGACCAATATAACCGAATAGATACGCTGCAACTCTATTGAGAGATACATGTCAGTCGCGTCAATTTTCATCGATCGAATTACTCACTTTCGCATTTGGATTTCCTCTGAGCCTTCTGTGATTCGGTAACGTCTGTGATGTCGGTAAATACTACGAAACAGTTAGTCATGGGAAGCGGTTGCAAACGAGGCTGACTTACTGTTCAAAAGGTTTGTGCCTACTATATCCAATCCCTCCATGAACCTATATATCGCACAGTCAGTACGGCACCCAACTCACACTATTCTCACCTGTATAGCTCGATCTGCAGCCTGCGTACACAACCTATTCGCCCAATAATTACACATCGACACCTTGTCTGAAATCTTCCTCTCAACCTCCTTCTGTTCCATTCGATCCATCTCCCAAGCAGTCTTCCTTATGAGAAGCCTTAGCATCTCAGCCTGCGTGGCCAACTCGACAAGAGGAAACTGTATTGCTTGGTTTTTAGCTAGTTCTTCACCGAACGGTTTTCTCTGACGAGCGTATTTGACGGATTCAGTGATACAGAAGACGGCGGCACCAAGGGAGGAAGCCGCTTGTCGGATACGGTTTTCATGAACGAATGATTGAGCGATGGCTAGACCATTGTCTATTGGACCGAAAACAGCAGAGTCGGGAACGAATACGTTGGTGAATGAGACGGTTGCATGGTCGGTGGGCATGTTGAAGGTCTAGCTTGGTAAGTATCAGAATTATAATGATGATTGGGAGCATACCCATTCATAGCTAAGAACTTTAACACCCTCTGCTTTTGCAGGAACAAAGAATGCTGTAATACCTATCGCATTGCCAGGGTTTCCACTCGTCCTAGCAAACACAACGCAATGAGTTGCCTTGTGTTGATTACTCTGCCACATTTTCATTCCATTGATGGACCATCCCTCAACACCATCCTTAACCGCCCTCGTAGCTTTCGTTTCCATAAACGTAGCATCACTCCCATGACCAGGCTCCGTCAAGCCAAAAGTCATACGTACAGTCCCCTCCAGCCTCCCCCATATGAGCTGCTTCTTCTGCTCCTCAGAACCGAACCCCAGAAGCATGATAACATCGGGAAAATTCCCTACTACGCTGTGTTCGTTCTGTAGATCATTGAATAGACCTAGTCCTTTCGCAGCTAGGTGCTCGCGGATCACCGCCATCCATAGATTTCCAGCATCTCGACCTCCGTATTCCTTGGGCAAGGCAAGACGATAGAAGCCAGCCTTGTCTGCGCGCAACCGTGCTTGATCAAGAAGAGCTTCCCAGTCATCGGAAGGAAGACCTCCTGCCTCCCAGTTTGTACGCGCATATTCTCGTCGGTGGTCAAAGAAGCGGTTGTTGTCATTGGTGTTTTGTAAGGGCGTGATTTCTTGGGATATGAAGGTGTCGAGGGAGTCTAGGAAGTCTTTCAAATCCTCGGGGAGCGCAAAATCCATTTTGAGAGTTGAGACGGTAGTTGCGGTGAAAGGTTCGGCTGAGAACTTGACCGATTTACCGGACGTAGAAGCATCAGGTGGACGCGGCAACAAGCTTCCTGAGAAAACGAAGACGATTCACTGTGGAGATGCCAAAGGGTAGAGTCACGAACGTCACTTGTGAGGGAGGCTAATAGGGTCTTCATTTTGGGAGAAGGATGAACACGGTCATTGAATCAAAGTTCGTTTATGTCAGTCGTGGAACGCCCTAAGAAACTGAATACGACGAGTACTCCACCCGTAGAATTATGTCTACTCGTGTGTGAGGTGCGTATAACGCTAAGAATATACTCAAATCCGACTAAGCGACGGGAAGAAGGAACCACTGGCGCAGTGATGATGGAGATGACCGGCTTACGATAATCTCCTGTTTCTCTATATGTCCCATCCCCATCTACGCGTCATTTACTCGGACGTAAATATGGAGAGAGGAGATAAAAGAGCATAAAAGATCGGAGAAGGGAGTACGGATCTAGAATCGGAGTTTGTATTGGATTTGGAGGAGGATTAGTAGAGATGATGTTGGGAATATTGGTTCATAGTTGAGCAGCGAGGGCTGAATGTATCGAGCTTTGCAACGCTTCCCGGATCCTGGAGGTATGTAGCGGAGTCTTCAATTTATCGGCGCTTGATCCGTTTCTTAAGAGACAGTGATGTCACCATGACCGCGCAACTTGGTTTGAACCGTACTGCGACGAGTCACTATAATAATGCTTCCTCTTCTCCTTCGTTCAGGTCGTCCATTACGGTCAGTCTATCCACACGAAATTACACCAATCACTCAAATCTTTCCCAAGATCTTCTCTCAGTAAAAGAACCATGTCTTCCGCCATTGCTCCTGCAGCCTTGAACGATTTCGGGAAACAACATGTCACTAATGGACTTGGAAGGATTACAGAAGGCGTAATAACCAAAGGAAACGGATCTTATGTCGAATATCTGGACGGAAAGAAAATGCTTGATTTTACCTGTGGAATCGGAGTCACCAACTTGGGTATGTTCATCGACGAGCTTTGGTAACTAGACAATAATCGCTTTGTTCTAGGCCACTGTCACCCAAAAGTCAGCAAGGCTGCTGCTGATCAATGTATGAACATCGTACACGCTCAGGTACGCTATAGGTAGCTTCGACGCGAATGAATTCCAACTCTGTCCCTTAGTGCAGCATTGCATTCCACGAGCCTTACCTCCGACTTATCGAAAAGCTGCTTCCAGCAATGCCACATCCTTCTCTCGACTCTTTCTTCTTTTGGAACTCGGGCTCCGAAGCAGTCGAAGGCGCTATAAAGATGGCTAGGGCCTTGACTGGACGACAGAATATTATTTCTATGCAAGGTGCTTACCATGGTCGTACATTCGGTGCGATGGCTGTCACCAAGAGCAAAACTATCTACTCTGATGGTGTAGCACCCTTAATGGTACGTTTCTCCGTGACATGCTTTTGCCTCAAATCATTCATCCCTCCCAGCCCGGAGTATTCTCTATCCCTTTCCCATTCTGGCACCAACACGGACTGCCGCCCTCTGCTCCAGATTCCGTCCTAACATTACAATCACTCTACCAGCTTGACCTCCTTCTCTCCCAACAAACTTCACCCCAAGACACCGCAGCGATCATCGTCGAGCCTGTCCTAGGTGAAGGCGGGTACGTTCCCGCACCAAAGGAGTTTTTGGAAGGTCTCAGATCGATTTGTGACCAACATGGGATTCTATTGATTGCCGATGAGGTACAGTCTGGGTTTGGACGCACAGGAAACTGGTTCTTCATTGAGGAGAGTGGTGTCAAGCCTGATATACTTCTGATGGCAAAGGGTCTTGCAAACGGATTCCCTCTCAGTGGTGTGGTCAGTCGCAAAGAGCTGACCGACAAGCTTAAGCCTGGTTCGTTGGGTGGTACCTATGCTGGAAACGCCGTATCTTGCGCGGCTGCCTGCGCAGTTGCCGACGCCTTCCGGGAAGAAAACATCATGGCTAATGTCCAAGCTCGGTATGTCATGTCCACCCATTCTCGCTTCTATACACTAAAACTCGCGCCACAGATCCAGAGAACTCTTCGCCTTCCTAACAGAGCTCAAAGACGACCAAACCTTGGCTTCTTACATCCTCGACGTTCGCGGGCGTGGTCTCATGGTCGCCATGGAATTCGCTTCCTCCGAAGCTCCTGGAGCCGCTTTCGATCCTACGACACCAAAAGGGCTTACAGTGAAGAAAGGCATGGCTAGTCGCGTGGCGAAGAAGTGTATCGAGAAGGGTATGTTGTTGTTGACGACGAGCGTGTATGAGGTGGTGAGGTTCATTCCGCCGTTGAATATCTCACAGGAGGATATGAAAAAGGGATGTGATATCTTTGCGCAGAGTGTGAGGGAAGTTGTTAGGGAAAATTGAAGTACTTACTGTGTACCCTGGATATTAAAGAATGTAATACAAAATATGCTAGTCATAGCTTTGACAGAAATTTATCACATATCGTACCTGGTCACCAACGGTGTTAAGCGAAAAAAGAAAAATATCTACAGGCACCTGGTGAATACACCGTTCGGGAATCGAACCCGAGCCGCTTGCTCACATGCGGAGGCCATCGCACACATGGAAGGCAAGCATGATAACCACTTCACCAACGGTGTCATTTTAACTGGATAACAAAGCAACAAACCAACATGCAAGAAACTATCGACGAAACTTTGACCTCTCCATCCTACTCGACTCCATTCGAACAAGGATATCAAGCGAAATTGGTACCGGACATTGACGACAGGAAAAAGAAGGAAAGCAGTAGTCGCGAAATGCCCTGCCAGATCCCACAAGCTTGTGAGTGTATACAAATGGCGAAGAGACTCAGTCGGGCTTAGGGTTAGAGAGAACAACAACCGCTGAAAGACACTGAGCTGCATATACATAGCCGGGACATGAGAGCCCTTGCATTGGAGGGGGAGATGATCCCAGGCTAAACCTCAACTACAGTCTGTTTCAACTTCTGTCTGTGATTTTAAAGTTCATGGGAGGTCCAATGTCAAAGAGTAAGTGAGTATCTGAAGCTGCAAGAGGAGCCAGGACAGGAATTGAAAATTATGGAAAAGCAGCAATCCGGTCTGTTAAAAATAAGAAATGGAGTTAAATGATTGTATAGGTGTTTGGCCTTGATTGGGCCCTGAGGCAACACTGTACTTATACAAGAATGACTATGTCATAGTGCATATATCAGGAGAGTGGGTTTCATGAGAAACAATAAGTGGCTACTGTGAGTATATGCATGAATACTGTGAGTATATGCACAGATATTTCCTGTGATATCATAAATTCATAATTGTGGTTAAAATAGGTTTTATGTGTATTCTAACATGGTCAAGAACCCAGAATTGATACATACTTCCCTCCTGCAAGGACTTTCATGACTAGTAAACCTGCTCTATCCCAAATTCCAGTCTGCATTCCAAGTACAATTGGAATGGCTCAGTTCACCCAATGATTCCAGTCCTTAGTCCTCATCTTCATCACTCCATCCGCAATCCATACCATGTTCTTACTCAGGGCCATGGAAAGTGACGGCCCACCTGATTTTGAGCAATATCTCAACAACAACTGGCTATTTTTGTTAGGTCCAAGTTGTGGAATTTATCTGGAGTGCATTCATGACTTTCTGACACTGGTTGTAAAATATTTTTATGATAATTAGTTGCTATATAAGGAATTCTTTAAAACTCCCAAAATCTACAGGACTAGGATTTTTTTTTCAAGCCAAGCCACACTCACCATTGGAAAGAGCAGGATCGAAAATGGCAATTAGCATTCTTACCTTAAGAACATCATTAAATCTGGCTCTGCAATTTGAGTTGCAAATGCATCAGTTTTGCCTGATTTTGGCAATTTTCCGCTATTTTTGGCATTTTAGAGCAACTTTGCAAGCAAATTGGGACATCAAATCAAATGATTTTTTTGATGTTAAATTGGTGACCCCCATTTTCGAGGCTGCTCTTTTCAACGGTGAGTACAGCTTAGCTTGAAAAAAATCTCCTAGTCCTGTAAATTTTGGGAGTTTTAAAGAATTCCTTATATAGCAACTAATCATCATACAAATATCTTGCAACCAGTGTCAGAAATTCAGAAATTTACTCCAGATAAATTCCACAACTTGGACCTAGTAAAAATTCCAAGTTGTTGTTGAGATCTTGCTCAAAAACAGGTGGGCCATCACTTTCCATGGCCCTGAGTAGAATCTTCCCAGACTCCAGGGAGGTATGTGCATGGTCTGTATGAGCCAAGGTTGTTTCAGTGATGGGGTGTAAAGGCACAGAGGGCCATTGCATAGAATTCTTGGTATGGAGGCTATCTGTACTCCTCAGAATCCTATGCACCAGATTCTATTACTTGTGATCATACTGCACCCATACCACTGCCTCCACAAATGATACTTAAGTTGTAGATAATTGAGATAGTTCCTGGACCATACCCACATCATTATACCCAAGCCAATAATTATGCTTCAGTCTGACTGAAGCATTGTGGGAAATAAATTATTTTAGTCATGTACTTTTTCAGAGGATTATGGAAAATGAATATTTCATCCCAGCTGGAGCTGATTTAAAGTTCAGATTTTGTCTGAAAAATGACATTTCAGAATCTTGCTGAAGGTTCAAACTTCAATTGGTCTGAATGTATTTCCTTCTCTAGTTCTATGAAATATTTATTTCCCATAATCCTCCAAAAAAGTACATTTCAAGTAGTCATTGAATTAATTTATTTCCCACAATGCTTCAGTCAGACTGAAGCATAATTATTAGCAGTGTGATATGAATTGCTGTTGTAAGAGTAAGTACAAGTAGGATAACAATGTTGAACTGGCATCTGCAGCAGAGTGGCTGGAACCTGTAGCATGAGATACATGATGTGCACCTGCCCAGTGGCTTGTGTATTCAATGGATTTGGTGTCTGTGGGAAGGGTGAGGCTAAGATTGTTACCTGATAGGAGCAGTCAGGTTTCGATGACTCGAGAATGGAGATGGCAGTGGACAGGCCGATTACACATAGATAAGAAGAATTTAGGATAAGTAAGGATTGTATAGAAGATGTACAAGCTCCTAGAACTACTACGTGTATGTCTATCGCACTCATTGTGGTCAGACATCAGCAAAACCTGGGTGAATGCCACAGCAACTTACAGCAATCCACAGTAGCCACAGCGCTGCACAGTTCTGTGGAATGCTGTGAAGTCCTGTAGGTTGCTGTAGGTTGAGCATTGCTTGACCATTTGACATCTGTCATTTCTAACTGATGGATATGGGAACGGGGACCTTGAACACTATTTAACCAGTGGCGAGTGCGTGGGACATGAAGTTCAACTTCTCTTCTCCCCCCCCCACTGATCTCACTTGACTCGGACTATAAGTTCTCCTTCCTATAGTTTTCATACAATATTTAATGACTTGTTTTAACTTCGGATTTCACAATGACATGGTAATACTAATAGGTAGTAGTGTACAGTATTCTGTAGACCAGTGGTAGATCACTCAGAGTCTGAGTACATTGTACTAGTAGCAGTATACAATATGATTTTATGATTATTCTGCCACGATTTTGCTCTTGCCAGTCAGGAAACTATTCAAATGAGTAATATATTTGGTATTGAATATATATGTAAGACCCTGACAGGCAACATTCCTGTGAGATCCACAGTAGTCTACAGCAATCCACAGTTCTGGACAGAGGGGTACCTTGCTGTGGGTGCTGTGGGTGCTGTGGGTTCTGTACAGAACACCCAAATTTTGCTGATGGAAGTAAGTTGGAAATTTGGGAAGAATCAGGTTGACGCATCTAGATAGACAGTCTACTGTGGTTGCTATTGTCTGGGTCCCGGGTCCCTCAGATCTCAGACTCAATGTAACTTCTGCCAGTGTTGAGCGACTCTGAGAGCTTCAAAAAATAACAAATAAGTTTGTAAGAAAGATCACAATGTACAAATAACAGAACAAAACACTGTTTTAACACATCAGCAAACCCTGTATTTTGGATACATTTTCCCACAGCATTGCTGAGATTTCCCAGGGCTTCCAGTGCCGGCCAGAGCCTGCCAACACACAAAAGTGCAAAAAAAATCCACTTGAATGAAATTACTAACTGATTCACAAACTTTTGTGTAAAAAGTCACTTATGAGTGTAAAATAAAGTGAAACTTCATTATTCAGTCAACCTACTTAGGTGACTGACTTATACATCATCAGTAAATTGTTCAGTTCAAATTGAAAGAAAAAAAAAAAAAAAAAGACTGAAATAGGAGCTATGCTGGCAGCCAAAACTGATAGACCACCTGTGACCTACTGAATGGCCAAATCTTATTCAGTTGCTATATATCCCATACCTGATTCAGGGGGCCAATCAGTTTTGGCTGCCAGTATAGCTCATATTTCAGTCTTTTTTTTCAATTTTAATTGAATACTTGACTGATAATGTACAAATCAGCTATCTAAGTAGGTTGATTGAATAATGAAATTTCACTCAATTTTTCATTCATAAGTGGTTTTTTACATGAAAGTTTGTGAATCAGTTAGTATTTCATTCAAGCGGATTTTTTTTGCACTTGGTTCTTTTTTTGTCCACAATGATGGTGTCCTCCCTCGATAGCACCGCCACAGGTGTATTTGTACTGCTCTTCTTTCACACTGTTAATAATTATGTTTGAGTCTGACTGAAGCATTGTTGTCAGCAACTAGTACCAGGTGTCACAACTTCTGACTTAGGCAAAGAGGTGAACAATGATGAAAAGAGAAGAAGATGATATTGAGAACTAGGAGGTATTGACAAGATTGAAGCTAAGGACTAAGCTACAGCTACAACTATTATATATACTAAAGTACAAACCCTAAGCCCTATACCCTGTACCCTGACCATGCGGTAACAATGCATGAAACAATGAAAGACAACAAGTAAACGACAATAAGTAATGATAGGTGGATCATACAAGTATGGACATGCTAACATGTGTTATGATCGAAAACAATCATACTCTGATCGACAGAACCTAATTAGTATAGCCCCGCATCTAAACAAGTGCACATTTATAGATATACAATGGTAAATAAAGGAAAATGATAAGAAATAATACCATGTGTCTGATAAGATAAGAATGTTTGTAGCAATTGTGGGATATAAATTATTTCAATAGATAAGGAAATGTACTATTTCAGACAAATACAGAAAGTAAATACTTCATAGGACTACAGAAGGAAATAAATTAAGACCATTTGAAGTTTGGACTTTCTGCAAATTTCCGGAATAGGATTTTTCAAACAGGGCATGAAGTAATTCGTTTCAGCTGGCCTGAAAATATACACTACCGAGGCGGGCCAAAATATTTCATTTCAGGTCAGCTGAAATGGTTACAACTACCATTTCAGCTGACCTGAAATGAAATACTTCAACTGGCTTTGGTAGTATATATTTTTGGTCTAGCTGAAGCTGATTGCTTCAGATCCTGTCCAAAAAAAGACATTTCAGAAAGACATTCCCTTTTGTGGAAGGTTCAAACTTCAATTGATCTGAATAGGGTTTCAAAGTACAATGCAATGCAATTTATTTGGTCCAAATCCAATAAATCATGAATTTTACTGGTACAAGATTTACTGAAAACTGG